TGATTGATTACTGAGCCCCAAATTACAGATGATCTGAACTGTCATCTTTCTATGAAAAAGAGCTAATTTTCCCAAAAGAACAGGTAGGCTAAAATCCTGAAATAGGTGAATGCCAGTAGAAGACCTGTTTGACCTTTTGGTAAGATAAGAAGAGACCTAAGAGATAACCACAGAAGAATTTTAGAAATCACAGAAATTACGTTGATGGGGAGGATTGCAGGAAGAGAGAGGTTCTCAGTGAAGTTATCTTTGACAAATTATGTTCTTTAAGCCAAGCTTATATTTTTAATTGAAATATAGCTTATATATAGTATTGTATTGGTTTCAGGTATATAATATTGTGCTTTGACAATTATAGATATCGCTAGATGCTATGATAAAGGTAGTTGCTATCCATCAACATACAAAGATATTACAATATTATTGACTGTATTTCCTATGCTGTACTTCATATCTGTGACTAATTTATTTTATAATTGGATGTTTGTGCCTCATTATCCCCTGTACCTATTTCACCGAACCCTCATTTCCCCTCCTCTCTGGTAACCACCAGTCTGTCCTCTGTGTTTATGAGTATATTTCTGTTTTGTTTGTTTGTACATTTGCTTTGTTTTTTAAGATTCTATATATAAGTGAAAGCATATGGCATTTGTCTTTATCTGACTTATTTCACTTAACATAATATCATCTAGGTCCATTGAAGTTCCAAATGGCAAGATTTCATTCCTTTTTTTGGTTGAGTAATATTCCATTGTATATATATATTACATCTTTTTTATCTATTCATCTACTGATGGACACTTAGGCTGCTTCCTTATCTTGGCTATTGTAAATAATGTTGCAGTAAACAGAGAAGTGTATATGTCTTTTCAAATGAGTGATTTTTTTTCTCCTTAAGGTTAATTCCCAGAAGTGGAATTACTGGGTCTTATGATATTTCTATTCTTAGTTTATTGAGAAACCTATATAGCATGTGTTTCTGCCAAAAATTGGAGTGACACTATTTTATTTAGCAAATATATGGTTTCTAATGTTTTTGTATTTACCACTTGCTTCTTATAACATCTTTTCACCTAGAAGTACTACATACTGTTAAATAGGCACAAACCACATTATTACATCCAGAAACACAAAATACAGGCCAGTGAATATTCATTATCATATATATATGCATAGCACATGATTCAGACACATCATTATGTCTCAAACAGGAGCAAGAAAAACTGGCTGAAGAGTAGTGGAAGATGTGGGGAGAAAAAAGAAACATTACAAAAATAAAACTGCAGAAACAAGGACAACCAAGGGTGAAGACCTAAGAGCTGCAGAACTAAGAGGGGTACTGGAAATTTTTTGGTAAAGGTCATTACAAGGCATTTCACCCCTGAATTCCAAGGATGAAATAAAACATGCACTCCCGTAAAAGAGCAAGTCCCATAGAAGGGGGAAATAGAACTGCTGTCAGACATCTTACAATAACCCTCAATTCCAGAAATAATGTCTACAGGGGTGGCCCACAAAGGTCATATTCTCTCAGCTGCCCATAAATGCCTAAAGGAAATGGACATTCTTAAGTAAAACACATGAAAAGACAGTGTAAGTCATTCTTAAAACCAACAAAACTATTACATAACAAAATGGGACATCAAAAGAGCTAAATCTGTATAAAATGCCCAGAAATACTGGAACTCTAGGGAAAAGAGTGGGCTGAGTATTTAGTCTATCTAAATGTAGAACCAGCTTTATAATGACTCCAGTATTCTCTTGTTAAGTTTATATGACTTTAGATTGGTATTTTAGAAAATAATATGTCTATGATGAAGAAACTTTATGTGAAATTCTAGTTACATTTCAGTTTATTTCCTTCATTGAAATATGAGAGAAATAATTGAATATTTCATTTAAAAATAATTTTATAATCCGAATGTGTGTTCCTGTTTTCTTTCTTCTTCCTTTGATTTTCTTGTTTGCCCTTATATCAACCATGTACCATAGACGCTACCAACATTTTCTTTAGGATGATATGGTATTGGTTCATTTTAAACTATCTTCTGTTAACTTGGTCTGTGTGATTGGTTTTTTAAAATATTAACTACATGTAATTTTTCTAAAAAAGAAGTTATTCATACACTATATTTATGTTGAAAGTATATGAATAAAACCTAAAGAAAGTATTTTGGCAAAAATAATCTGCACAGTTTGGCAAACCAGGTAGTTTACTGATGGAAACTTATACTTCTGTTGAATTTTTAAATGCATCTCTTTTGGTCAATACTCCACCCTGTTGGTATCACACTTTTATGTAGTAAATTATTTTCTTACAAAAATCTTTAAGTATCTTGGATTCAGTCCTGCTGTGTGATGGTCTCCATGCAAAGGAGTGTTTAATCACAAATAGATTCACTAAGAAGTTCTGCTCCTGACACATTATTATTTTTTTAAATATCAATTTGATTTTCATATGTAAGAGTAATAGTTAAACAATATATTTCTCCCTGTTTTCTTCAGTTCAGAAAAATACTGTTTTACAAGTATTAGAGATAGTCTTTTAAAATCTTTTGTGATATTATAAACTCTAAAATTTGTATCAAGTGACACTACAAATAGATTTGGTCCTTTACTGGCCTTTCCTGGTTCATTTAGCATTTCTAGTTCCCTAGGGTTGAAATAAGGACAGGGGCAGGTGCAGTTTTTTAAGGTGTGGGGAGAGTAAGAACTGGAGGGACCTTGCATGCCACTATCACCTTTTCCTAAAATACCAGATCACTGAAGGCTCTATATTGGTAACAGCATCTTATACTTATATGACACCAAGAACCATTGTTAAGACCTTTCCAGACAATAACATACCTAATCATCACAACCATTCCTATAGATGGGTTTACACAGGTGAAGAAACCCTAAGATAAGTAACTTGCCTAATGTTACAAAGTTATGATTAAACCCAGGAGGTTTAGCTACAGAATTCTTTTATACTGTACATATACCCCAGAAGGTAATTTTCCTAGTTAATTAGTAGCCATATTCCTAGTTTCACAATGGATGGAATGACCCTATGAGAAGCATCACCATGAGTATAATACTCACTAAGACTAATATTATAAACATCCTTTAAACTGAGATTGTTCCAAAAAAAGAAAGTACTTACTGATTGGTGGTATGTGCCACCATAGTCAGTGTATGTACTCTCTGGGGCATGTTCTTTCAAGGTATGTGCCCATGAGTGGGTTTGCAGTTAAATGAATATAAGAAGAGAGAGGTAGATGCTTCTGCTGGATGCTTCTTTGGGGTTCTGTTGACAGTGTCGTTAATGCTCTAATGTCATGAGGATAGATGTTCTTGTCTTTGAAAGGAGCCCAGGAAACAGGTACATAAGGGGAAGAACATCAATTTAACTAATACTAGCAACTAGAACTATGAATATTAGCAACTAGAACTATGCCATGTGAATCAAGAAATAAGTCTGTAAAGAACAGGGCATGGGTGTTTATTTTTATTGTGTAGCAGTTATTAGGGTTATTACAAAGCAGTACGACTTATGTTTCTGTCGCTAACAGCATTCATACAATTGACAGGTTTATAAGGAGGACTGTGAGCAGCTATAAAAATATTATTTCCCTATAGATAAAAGTTAATTCTGATTTCCATTAACCCATGAAACATGCTTTAGGGGACAATCAAAAGAGTCAGAAGCAATGGAGTCTGGAATCCCATCTCGGTTGTTGAATCTTTAAGGATATACAAGTATCAGACTGTTTTCTTTGATCCCAAGTGCCTCTCCAACAGTGAGTTAAGGACCTAGAGATCATTTTTTTTTTTCAGTCCTTTAGGAGACCATTTATTTCCTTACTAGAGCCATGAAGGTTTAAAAGTACAAATCCTACTGGCTCCCAATGAACAGCACACACACGAAAAAAGCATTTTATTGTGGGCATTTTGGATGTGAGAGAAACACAAGGTACTACAGGTCAGTTTCTGGAAAAAACTATTCTTGAGGCCAGTGTAATATGAATATTATATGTCCACTTCATTGATATACTAAGCAATAAAATGTTTTATATATGCAAGTTCACCTTTCCAGTTAGAAAAGCTTTCTGAAGAAGTTGAGTTATACTTCTCTGTGTGTACTCTAGCTTATTTGAGATGATGGGAACAAAATAATCCATAGAGAATATATAAAAAGGAAAATGAAAGAGTTTGGAGAGTAATAAAACTTTTGTTAGACAACTAGGTGTTACTTTTGTGGTCTAAAAAATGGAGTCATATGAAAAATGCAAAAAAAAAATAAGCACTAGATTTTGTCCAAGAGGATAATAAATATAAAGGGGAAAGAGGTAGAGAGGAAACTGTGTATCATTACATTAAATAAGGTTTTATTTATTCATTTGACAAATGTCTATTGAGTTCCCACCAGGTACCAAGTGTATTTTAGATGCTTGAAACATACCTATGGGGTAAAAAAGATAAAATGTAAGCTCTTTATGGAGCTTAAATTTTAGCTAAAGAAGGCAGAAAATAATAACATTAATAGAACAATAGTAATAACAAATGAAATAGAGCATTAAGAGTTGATAGTGGTAGAGCAAAAATAAAGCCACACAAATGGTTATGGAAGAATTATGAAATTAAATACCTAGTCATTGAATCCAGATTATATGAAGCAACAGAATTTAATATTTTTAACAGAATGATATCCAGGCAATAATAGTTCAAGGGAAATTGTTGAAACATGTGATGGTTAATTGTATACATCAACTTGACTGGGCTAACAGATGCCCAGATGGTAGGCAAAACATTATTCTTGGTTGTTTCTGTGAGGGTGTGTTCGGAGAGACTGGTTGGCATTTGAGTAAGCAGACTGAGTGAAGATCACCTTCAACAACTTGGTGGCTATCATCTCATCTCCTGAGGGCTTGAGTAGCACAAAAAGGGTGGAAGAAGGGTGAATTCATTCTCTCCCCTTGTGCTGAGATACTATCTTCTCCAACCTGCAGGCATTGGTGCTTCTGGTTCTCAGGCCTGTGGATAAGAATGGTTTACATCACTGGTGTTCCTGGTTCTCAGGCTTGCGCACAGCAGATCATGGGACTTCTCGACCTCCATAATTGTGTGAGTAAATTCCTACAATAAATCCCCTCTTATATACCTATATCTAAGTCTGTCTATCTATCAGGGAGGAAGCTTGCACTAATGGAGACTCTGTTAGGTACAGGGTATTGACTACCTGGACACTGGTATGTCTAATAAAAAGTTATGCTGTTTCCCTGGGTGGAGATGTAACATGGGTCTGTAACAGTTCACCACCCTTATACTATAGAACCTGCTTTTGCTCAGTTTCATGGTAATAAATCACAATATTAAAAAATACATCATTTGTGGTTATGAAGTTCAGGGAAAGGAATTAGATCAAAAAGCATAAATGGTTCCTCTAATTCTTTCTTTAGTAAAGATGGTGCTTTTAGAAGAGACAGATATATGGAAAGCCAGTACTTACAGATCAGCAGTTCAAAGCCAATAATTGAATTTGCAACTTTGGTTTATGGTGTAAGACCTATGGGCATGGGGTACAGTATAGCTTGCAAAATGAGAAGAATGTTTTGGGCAGGACACTGGAAGTATTTAAATAATATTTCAGGAGGAAAGAGAAGGAAGTAGCTAATAGGGAGAACCCTAAATCTGACGTAGAATAACTACCATGAGGGTTTCATGTCATTTTTTTTTAGAAATTAACGAGGATATGGACAGAAAAAAATTTATGTACTTATGTCTATATATCCTTGATAAAATGTGTCATAAACAAAACAAACAGTTTAATATTATCAGAAGTGTCAAAACTTAGTAGTCTGTTGCCTATGATTAGAATATGGAAATAAAAACAATCAAATCAAAACAATGGTACACAGAGGGAAAGAACATGGAGAAGAAATCAACTGGTAGTGTAAACAAGAGAGAAGTTAGCTGAAATTAAAACTAAAAAGAAGTGGCAAAGTCTGGAATGTACACATGCACGTGTTCTATAGCACATACATAGAGAAAAAACATTTTTGAGTGGGGTTCCATGAAGTTGTTCTATGAAGACACATCGTTAGTTGATTATGAATTAACTACGTTTAGATAATAATAAAATTGAAGGGTAGGCTTTCTAAGTTCCACCTTAGGGCACATTCTAATCAAGGTTCTTTGGGTATTAAGCAAAAGAAGCCCCTTCAAACCAGGGTAATACAAGTTAGATTTTAGACTAAGGATACAAAGACTCAAAGAGCAGAGAATGAAAAATGGTTAGGTGTGTCCCAGCACCAGGAAAACTGGGATACCTGACTCCATCAGTTATCTTTGTGTTCCATTCTCTTCTTTTTGCAGATTGACTTTGTTCTGCCCCAAAATAGTGATTCCCTATTATCAGACAAGTATGTTCTCCTAGTTTGTCTCTCCCCAGGTAATTGATCCAGTTTCTTATTGACTCAGTTTCATAATCCACAGAGACACATGTGATTGGGCTAGGACATCTTTTTTCATCTTGTTACTGCTATCTAGAATTTTATTTCCATTTCTTAAAAACAAGGAATGAGTATTTCCTAGTTCATAGTCCCTTAAGTGTACTTATAATTTTTATACATATATATGGCCATTTTGTTTCAGGTATCTCATGATTTCAGAATGGTTTATTTATCTTACTGATGAATACTTTTTTTAAGTGAATATTTATTGGTGATGAATGCATATACATACTTGAAAAGGAATTTTTTTGGACGAGTGTTTTGGTAGAAGAGATTGTTCATTATTGAATTATAGCTATCTCCTTGGTGTGTCAAGAACTGTTAAGAGTTTGAGATTTTACCCATTTTATAAGTTAATATTTTAGTGTGCTACAGTTTTATGGATGCTAGTGGAAGTCTTGAGGCTTCCCGTAGAGTCAAACAAGTTTATTACTTACTGCACAACAGGTACCATGAGCTTCATATTCCCACTGGTTCCCCTGCAAATAGGAGCATGTCCCATGGGAGCAAAGCAGAAGCCCAAGTGGCTGCTGTGCACACAATGGATTTGCATGTCAGTTGAATGCTGAGCATTAGGAAACCCCAGTGTCCTAGCCCTGGAGTCGTGCTTGGGTCTGATGGCAGCTGAGCTTGTTCTTGGACTGGGTGTTCTTCACTTCCAGCTTCCAGCTCCTTAGCCTCGTGAATCAAATGCATGATCTGGTGTTTCCACTGCTGTTGGTTCTTGGCTGCTCCCCTCTTTCTTTCTGAGTGACTTCATGGTTTTCTTTGTTTGGTTGGTTTTTGGTGCCACTTGTGTTGACTTCTGCATGTTTGGAATTTTCTGAAATCTTTTCTTTTTAATTGTTTTCCCACCCACTCTGCCCCTGGCTACTGGACATACAGTAGACCTAGGACAGAGGGGCAAGTGGGAGATGTTGGTCGTCATCTGGGAGGGAGAGGGCAGTAGGGTGCTAAGGAAGGACAGGTGCCCCTGTCTCTGTCCAGAGGCTGCTTGCTGGTCAGACCAGCAGAACTGTCCTCCCCAGAACCAGATCACTTGAGGGGCCCAACCCCAGAAAGCAGAGCCAGGACAAATGTGGGGCAGTTCAGTTTGCAAATCCGGGATGATGTGATCAGAGGGTAGCCGCTCCTCTCAGCCTTTTGAATGCCATCTCTTCTCTCCCTGTTGTGTAGAGATGTGTCTTAATCTCACCTCTGGGTTCTAGTATTTTCACAGTGGTGTCTTGTCTGTGGATATTGGCTAGTTGGCTTCTGCTGAGGGGCAATGAAATCCAGGGATTACCTTGTCCTTATCATGATGACATCACCCCAGTATTGGTATTGTTACTCTGAGACTATTGTTTTTATTTTGTGGTACAAAGAAAATGAGTAGTTTTGTTGATACCTTTGAGACAGGCATCTTGGCATGAGACAAATTAGATTTAATTGTCAGAACTAAAAATAATCAATAAGAACTCTTGATGTATTTTATCTTTAAAGATACAGATGTTTTATTTCTGACCACTAAAAAGGCAGAGGAGTAATATCAAACCCAGGAGTCATGAGCAGAGACTTTTTCCAGTGTGAGGGAAATACACTGAATGGAAGTCTAATATGATAAATAAATACTTACAAAGAGAAAGATGTTTTTCATGGATGAGAATATAACTTGAACTGAAGATTGTATCAACTGAAACCTGTGCAATTGCTGTCCACCAAACAAACAAAATGAAATGAAGCAGAAATGAAAGCACTTTGGCTGCTTACCCCAAGGCTAACACTATCACTTAATCTCTGCTAACATCTCTTGTTTATAGATTATGTGTTGACCTGTTGACATCAGCAAATGTGGTCCTAAATAGTTCTTTACCTAGAAGTAGGCAAGAGATTCAATTCTGGATATGACTCCTTTGGAGGAAGAGGGAGTTCAGACAAAGTAATTCCTGTTTAGTATAAAGATATAATAGTTACCAGAAGAAGGATTTTTCTAATTTGCAACTTGTTTGCTTCATTCTATTGAATGAAATTGTGTGGGGATGTGATGATATGAGTGACTTCAGTCATCTTTGAACATTGTAAAGGAGACTTGGAAAATTGTAGGGATGTCAAATAAATCCTTGCTTCTGGCTTAACAAATGACTACAATAACTAAACTCTCCTATACTTGTAAAGCGAGAAGAAAAGAAATCAACTCTTTAGAAATTAACAGTGTTATTTCTTAGCTATTGATTTGCTTGAAGCTAAAGCTTTTTCTACTTATGATACATTATCCATTTTAGAAAACTCCAGTGTTAAAAAGATATGTTGGTTACCAACACTACCATAACCACCAACACCAGCAGTGAATATTTTGAAATTTTTCTCATTTGTGTGTTTTACTGCTGTGGTTTTGGTCTTTCCTGAAAGCTTGACTCTGTTATATGAACTGGAAGGTCATTAGGTAGGGGTCCTGGGTGAGGAGATGCTTTGACTCAACCTAATTATTTTGTCCCCAGAACTAATCAAATTAAAAACTAATTCTTTGTTTTCACATTAAACGTTTTCCTACTTGTGCCTTTTTTCCCCCCTCAAACCCAATAATGTGCTGTGTTTTCACTAGGGAAAGGAGAAGGAAGACTCTGATAGATAAGCTTCATTAGAAGTAATATAATCAATTATTATTATATTTTATGGACTCCTGGAAACATTTGCCCTTTAACAGTGTTTGAATAGTTCCTCTGGGATGAACAAGACATTTCAGGGAAAAAAAATGAACCTTAGTTTTAGCTAATGAAATTCACTTGGTAGAGTCTAAGATTAATTTGCTAAGTAGTAACTTGGAGGCATCAAAGAAGTAATTTTCATCATAAATTGCCTGAATCCTCCTCAGAATGGGTATTCAGACTCTCTAAACTGAGGTAAAAGTAATAGCTCTTAACCTTTCACGGGATCATCTTTCACAATCTCTTTAAAGAAATATTGCCATTTGCAACAACATAGATGGATCTAGAGGGTATTTTGCTCAATGAAATAAGCCAGCTGGAAAAAAGACAAATACCATATGATTTCACTTATTTGTGGAATATAAAAACAAAGCAAAACAGAAGGCACAAAACAACATTAGACTCAGAGACACTGAGAAGTGACTAGTGGTGACCAAGGGGAGGGGGATGGGATGGGAGGTGGCAGGGTGAGGGGGATAAAAGGGAGGGCACAAAAATTCACAATCACAGTATAAGTTGATTAATGGGACTGTTGAACCACTGTGATGTATATTTGAAACCAACATAATTTTATATTAGTGATACTTTAAAATGATAATAAGAAAAAAGTTTGAACATTTCAGAAATGTTCGTATTGGTTAAAATGTACAAAATTTCAGGGAGATGCACAAGTTCACCTCAATGTATTATAGGCTCTGTAGTTATCCATTTTTCTTCTTTCCGTCTTACATAGTGGTCATACTGTCTACACAATGGTTATAATATATCTTGAAATTTTTTGATCCCTTATCTTTGCTATGATCTTTCAATAATTACAAGTGCTAGAGTTATTATTCTGATGAATTAAGTTCATTTTAAGTGCTATATTGTAGTACATGATTGAAATAAGCTACAGTAGACTCTCTGCAGCAGCAAAATTGTGGTTGTG